TTAACTCTGCATTAACGAGGGTGACCATACGTCCCGCTTTGGTCGAGAGACTCCCATTTTTAAGTCCTGTCCTGGCTCAGTTGGCAAAAGCAAAATGCACAAATGCACAGTTGTGTCAAACAGGTGGGGAGCGACCCCTAGCAGGGGGCGGAGGAACGTGTGGGGAGGGGGGACGAGTGGCAAGGCCAGCCCTGCATGGGAGGGAGGGCTTGGGAGAGCGGCTTAGGCCAGGCCAGCCCCACATGAGCGGGTGACAGGGGGTCTTGGGCTGGCCCCGCGTGCAGGGGGTTGAGGGAGGCCTCAGGCTGGCCCCACGCGGGTGGGCGGTGGGGGCCTTGGGCCAGCCCCATGTGGTGTCCTGTTTTCCCTTTGGGAAAATATGGCCACCCTAGCATTAACAAAATGTTTTGACGTTTGTCCCATCTGGATTTGGAGACATTTTACCTCTGGCCTGGATGATTTTCTTCCCCTGCCCCTGTACTCCCCTGCTTCCAAATGATTTTGGTCCCTGTGACACGCTGCCCTTGTCACACTCGGGGAGAAACATTCATGCTAGCATATGAGGCACTGGGGAGACCTCATCTGGAAAACCGTGTCCAATTCTGCTCAGGGAAGATGAATCCGGACTGAGCCAGGTGCAGAGAAGGGCTGCTAGGATGATCAGAGGAATGGAGAGCTGATCTTATGAGAGGAGACTGAAAGGCTTGTTTAGCCTAGCAAAAGCAGGCCAGGAAATGAGTCTCTCTGGCCTGTGTTGTGCCAATGGTCATAATGGTCCATTCTGGCTTTAACATCTATGCTTCTGGTTCTTGGTTCGCCTGAGCCCCACACTGGCCCTGTAATTTTCACCCACTTTCAGATCCCTTCATGCAGTGAGAGTGGCACAAAGCAGCTTCAGTGTCAATGGGAATCAGGGCTGAAAAATGTACAGGCAGAGAGAGACTGGATCTGAAAGTGAAAGATGTTATATTGACATATTACAACTAGAGAAGTTAGAAACAAACTTCAAATCCACTTATGGAAAGATTATGACATAACACAAACTTATTTCTTAAGAATCCAGAACCCTAACACAGAAGAACCAAAACCAGAGAGAGACAAAGCAGGCTGCTCCTAGGGCAGAGAGGTATAACTCAGCCCATCTTACTCTAGGCTGGCTCTTTGCAGACAGACTGATGATCGCACACTTCCCTGCAGACCCCCAGTTTTTGAGTGGGACCCAGAAACCTCTTACCCGTTAAAGAGATAGCTTGTCATTTTAACACTCTAATACCGACCCTTGCTTTCCTTTCAGGGGTCATTGTGGCACAGTCACCCATCACAGCTCAGTGCGGCAAGGACATTACCCTGAGCTGCACCTTTCCCACACTCGGCTTGGCAGCAAATCAACAAGTGAACGTCACCTGGAAGAAGCCAAGAGCCGAAGGACCAGACCTGCTGGTCCACAGCTACTCTTTGGGAACAGAGAAACAATCTGAGGCTTACAGGGGGCGGACGCAGCTGGATCCAGAAGGATTCGCCAAAGGGGACGCATCCCTGAGACTGAGGGATGTTCACATTCAGGACGAGGGGTTTTATAGCTGCTTCGTCAACTCTGAGCTGGGCCCGTGGTCTGAGGAGATGTCGCTGACAGTGCTGAGTATGTCGCCTCCTACAATGGGCTTTGCTGGCCTCTGAGGCTACAGCTGGTCGAAATGATGCTGTCCAAACGTTTGTTGGGTGGAAAACAGCTTTTCAACTAAATGCAAATTGTCACCCCCCCCAAAAAAATGTTTTTCCCATTTTTTGTTGCTTAATTCCCATTGAAGTCAAGGGATTTAGGCACGTAGAGGGATTCTCAAAAGCACCTCTCTGCAGCTGTAGGCACCTGAATCCCTTTGGAAATCCTCTCACCCTGTCTTGGTGCATCCATGGCCTTGATACCAAAGCTTCTCTGGCACCCTCCATCACTAACTCCAGTATTAACCACCATCTCCCCTTCTGCGAATCCACTCAGGTTTGGCAGTTACAGATTTTGGGGTGGAATGGAAGATGGGTGCAGGCTGTTTCCCTGAGGAAACACCAACAGAGAAGCGTTGTGTTGTGGTTACCTTTTAGACTACAGCGTATGCAAGTTGTGTGTGCATGAGCCACTGGTTGGTGTCTGAAAAATTCCACAAAAAAATATGGATTTTTCTCTTTAAGGGGCAAGACAACGAGAGTCACCCGTTGTAGTTCAGGAAGGGGAGGACGTCACCCTCAGCTGCTCCTTCGAACCTGAGCAAAACCTCCGGCTGTTGAACATCACCTGGAAGAAGGAAACAGCAGAGGGACGGGATCTCCTGGTTCACACGTACTATAATGGGAGGGACCGATGCTGGTTCCCGAGGGTCCCTGAGACTCAAGAACGTCCGGCTGTCAGATGACGGGGTCTACACCTGCCATGTCAAACCCGAACTGGGCAGGTTTTCCATGCGGATGAGAGTTACCGTGGAGAAGGGTAGGGCTCCTCTTACAGGGTACCGCACAAATCCCAGGGTCAGGGTAGCTGGGCCGCTAGGAACTGCTCCACGTGGCGGTGGGTTATCACATCACCATAACCCACTGGGGAGCAGAGTCGGACGGCTCAGCGAGATGGTACATGGGGGGCCAAGGCGATCGCTGGTGAATCTCAGTGGTAGCAAAGGGGAAGAGGTCAGAGGGCCCAAGCACAGGCAAATAGGGTTGCCAACGGTCTTGTTTTTACCCAGGTACTCTGGTTTTTGGCTTCTCTGTCTGGGTGGTTTTCTGGGACCTGGCAACCCTCAGTGGCACCCAAACCAAAAGTCCAGTTACCGCGGGGTGGAGGGAGGCACCGGGTCATTACCCCACCCCAGCCCCTGCTCCACCTCCTACCTGCTGGTGGGCCCCCTGGGAGATCCAGCGAGCAATGTGGGGAGAGGAGCAAGCAACGGGGTGGGGCCTTGGTGGGAAGAGATGAAGAAGGGGGCGTGGCTTCCTCGTGGGTCTGGTTACCAGCAATTAGAAAGGTGGGAACCCTACGGGCAAATGGGAGGAGAAGTCTCCAAGAGATGATCTCTTTGTGCAGCTCTGACAATATTGGCCATCCCCCGGACTCGTGGCAGTGGGAAAGGTATCTGAAATTCCCAACCCCTCTTGGGGGGCGTTTCCTGGGACCCTGCTGTGCTCACAGAAGCATTCTGGGTTTGTGGATTTTTCTTCCCTCCCACCCCCCATTTCTTACAGGCGCCAGGTGTGTCTGGTTCTTTTGGGCACCTCTTCTTCTTCTTGCTCTTTCCCTGTTGGTAATGGTTATCATCATTAAAATGCATCGTCTTCCCGTCCGATGGGAACTTACATTCCCCTCATGGGGCGGGCCGTCTGTCTGATGACTATGAGGAGAAAAATGACAGGGGGGGGGGGGGGGCCCGGACCCCAACTTCTTTTTTGTGGAAGGAAGGGGGGGTGAAACCCACCAGAGGGGCGGGGGGGGGGGGGTGGGAAACCATCCTTTTTTCTTTGTGGGGTTTGTTGGGGGGGGTCGTTTTCATAAAGGGGGGGGGGGGTTTTCCGCTTTTGAGGTTTTTCTTTTACCTGTTTGAAATCCCTCTGTTTAATTACATTTGCACTCAGCAGTCTCCAGCCACAAAGAAAAAAATTCCCTGCCTCCCCTTCTCCACCAGAATTTTTAAGGCTGATAGTTTTCTGACACCAAATGTCAGGGTGCAGGTACCCCGCACCTGGATGGACTGTGAGGAGTTTATAATTGCTCAGGAATGCATAGATTCCGGACAGAGCCGACAAATCTGATCTTCTGGTCTGACCTCCTGGATAACGCAGACCAGAGAACTGCCCCAATAAGATCCTTTAGAAAAACATCCAATCTTGATTTTAAAATTGCCAGTCATGGAGAATTCACCACAATCCCTGGTAATTTGTTCCAGTGATTAATTACTCTCACAGTTAAACCTTATTTCCAGTCTGAGTTTGTCTAGCTTCAATTTCCACCCATTGTATCATGTCAAACCTTTCTCCGCTTGACTGAAGAGCCCTCTGTTATCAATTTTCTATTCCCCATGTAGGTATTTATAGACTGTGATCTTATTCTTATTGCCTTAATTCTGGAGGCTGTACATTTCTCCTTGTGTCCATTTGCTTCCCTCATCAATTTTCTACAATGCCTAGCTTCTAATTTATAGTCATTGCTATCAACTTCTCCTTTCTTCCAGTTGTTACATATTATTTTTTGAAGCTTTTTCACTTCATCTCTAAGCAGGCTGTTTTTTTAAACTCTTTCTCATCTGGGATTGTAGTTTTCTGGGCATCTAGTAAAATGTTCTTAAACCATTCCTAATTATCATTGACAGTTTTCTCTTTACATTCTTTCTCCCAGCTGATACATATTGTAATTGTTTTCAGAAACTGGCCCTGTTAAAACACCCTGTATCTATATTACCGCTTGGGACTTTATTCTGATTGCACATGACAAATGTGACCAAGTCATGACCACTTGCTTCTAAACAGCCACTCATTTTTAGTTCCGTGATCCATTCCTTTTGACCCGTCAAGATCAGTAGCGGATTAGCCACTGGGTTGATGGGGCCTGTGCCCAGGCGCCCTGGCCAATTGGGGAGCCCCGGAAAAATGGGGCCCCTGTGTTCTGACCCTGCTCCCCTGCAGGAGAAGCCGCAGTGCCTGGACCCCAGCTGCAGCCCCGGGCATAGGTGTAACTTAGGAGGGTGCGGGGGGGGGGCATTTCCCTCCCAACAGAGGCAAGACATGTGGGGGGGGTCACATGCAACTCCCCCACCAATTTCTGTGAACGCTTCCCCCTGCCCCCCCACCCCGCATGTTTTGGCTCCCGGGGAGCGGAGGGGAAGGAAGCAGCGGAGGGCCCTGCCTTAGCAGCTGGATGCCGCCTCCTTAGTTCCCGTCTGTTTCCTCTACAACCCTGAGTGCCCACGGGGAAGGGGGGGCATAGCAAAGGGAGGTGGGGTGAGGGGAGGAGAAGGGGATAGGGGATGGGTGGGGGGAACCAGGAGCCCAGCATGTGGCATTCCCTGCGCAGCAGCAGCCCCAGCAAGGAGGTAACTGGAGCAGCCCCAGAGCAGTCCTGTCCCCTCCACAGCACCGGCAGACCAGGTCCCACTGTAGGCTGGGGGAGAGAGCCAGTGAACCCAGGGGACTGGCTTCAGCCTGCATGGGCGCGAGTTGTCCCCCGAGATATAGCAGTCAAACTACGCCTAGGGCCCCCGGGACTCCAGCTCCCTGCTGCAGCCTCAGGGCTATGGCAGGGGAGGGGGACAGAGCTTCTCCAGTCTCGGGGCCATGGGGTGGGGGGGAGCAGAAAGGAGCAATGTTGTGTGGCCGCAGTGGGGGGGTAGGGGGAGAATGGGGCTGACTGTGTGTGGAACAGGGTGGGGCAGGGGGGGACTGCAAGTGGAAGAGCTCAGGGCCCCATGAAATCTTAATCCGCCTCTGGTCAAGGTGAAGTCTAATTAGAGCTGGTCAAAGTGGTACCGTTGAAACATTCTTATGATGAAAAATGGCTTTTTGACCAAAGTTTTCCAGTTTTTAAAAAACTTTCCAGGTTAAAAAATAAGGGTTTTGGAAACTATATTTTTTTGGTGCTGAAAATGATTTTCAAAAACCACATGTTTTTCCCATTTTTGGTTTTCCAGCCACTTTGCCCCCCCTTTTCCCCCCTTTTCCAATTGGCAAAAGTTGGTAAACAGTGTGAATGCATCCGATGCAGTGAGCTGTAGCTCACGAAAGCTTATGCTCAAATAAATTTGTTAGTCTCTAAGGTGCCACAAGTCCTCCTTTTCTTTTAGTGTGGAAAAAATACATTTTCAATCCCTTTCTTACTGTTTTCCAGGTTCTAGCTGGAAAACACTAGAAAGGTGGGAGAAGCAGGTTGTCCTTCACTTTATCATACTTTTAAAAAACCTTTCCCCGCCTTTATCCAATGCCAAAAAGGGAGGGGGAGCCAAGAAAGGGAAAAAAACCCACTTCCTGAAAATTAAAAAAAGGGAAACGAATCAACATTTTGAGAATGAACATAGTTGGTTTGAATTGAATTTGTTTTGTTTCGAAAATTACAGCAGAAAATTGAAATGTGATAATAAATAATAATAATAGACTCATAGACCCACAGGGTTAGAAGGGACCACAAAGGTCATCAAGTCTAACCCCTAATAATAAAAACCTATTGTTTATTAGGTGCATTACGGTAGCACCCCTAACCTGGCCTGGGACCCCACTGTGCTAGGCACTGTATATTATTAGTGCCCTTTATTAGGTGTATTATGGTAGCACCCACGCGCCCCTATCCTGCTGCAGGACCCCACTGCACTGGGCGCTGTGCATTATTCGTGTCCTTTATTAGGTGTATCGCGGTAGTGCCCAGGCACCCCTATCCTGACCCAGGACCCCAGTGCACCAGGCGCTGCACAAACACAGAACAGAGTCCCTGCCGCAAAGAGCTTCTAGTCTATGTAGAAGCCAAGAGACGCCAGCTGGAGACGGCCAGACGGACGGGGGAGGGCAAGGAAACAATGAAAGACTATTGTCTAAATAGACACGGTCGGGGAAGGGGGAGAACGCACCAGCGGAGCGAGCAATGGGAGGGCCGGAAACGAGGCGCATTGCATTAGCACAGGGGAAGGGGCAAGGGGGGTACAGGGGGTGCCGAGGGGAACAGGGAGTCAGAGGAGTGAAGCTGAGGTGAAGGGGGGGGGGGCGCTGGCACGAAGAACCGGCCACCTTAGTCCTTACCGGCCCCACCCAGCCTGTGCCGAGACGGTAACGCACCCAGTAAACACCAGCCTGTTGGATTAGGCCTCCCCAGCGCAGCCAGAAGCCATCTGCAGCCAGGCCCAAAGGAGGAGAAAAGGGGCTCCTGCTTCCCTCCCTGTTGAGATTTTGAAGAAACGGGGCACCAGGAGCTTGCTTCAGCTTATGGCTTGCCAGCCTTGCCTCGCTCACCTGCCCCAAGGATTTCGCCAAGGCCTTCAGGCGGAGGATACGGTTTTATGCCTTTCCTACCTTCACTCCTGTTAGCCCAGCAGAGGTGATGCAGAGCGTTCATCCACATTGCAGCTGGGACGTATCATTCCCAGCGTGGGCAGAGATGCACATGCCGGCTCCGATCCAGCTAGCCCCTCGCAGCGGGGCCGTGGAGACGCAAGCCGTAGCCCCCGGGTACAATCCCGTCCGAGATCCTAGACACGTCCTGGGGCAGCTAGCCTGAGACGCTGCCTGTACCCCTGCAGTCACAGCCTCTATTTTAAACGAGCTAGTTCAATCAGAGTTGTGCCGATTGCAATGTAAACGCAGCCGTTCTATTCACTCCAATGTCAATCTTTTCTAGACACCAGCCTGGGATGAACGACGCTTATGGGAGAAGCCAAAACAGCCAAAATTCTCTCGTGGAAAGTCTCCTGCAAGGGAAAAGGTTCCCAGAAATATTGCCCGGAAGCCTAGCAAGAAAGGTAAAGTCCCACTTGTAAGCCGTGCTATTTTCACAGAAGAAGGAAAACTAATTCAAAAGAATGATTCTAAAAAACTAATTCAAAAGGTTTATGTCATAGACCTCCCATTATTTCTTAACTCTCTAGGTCTCTGTGGATTATTTCTCACACGTGTTTGCTGTCTTCCCAATTTCATATCTAGGCATGTCACTAACAAGTTGCTCCCTTCTTCCAGAGCAGAATGAAGATGTTAAAGAGATTGGGCGCTCTTAGGGGCAGGGGAATGTCTCTCTCTGGGTTTGTGGAGCGCCTGGCGCCGTGGGGCCCCAGATTTTGGTTGGCATCTGTGCAGCACCCAACAATATGCAGCCCTGATTTCGGTCAGGGTGTGCAGTGCCCAGTGCTACGGGGCCCCCGCTCTGTGTTTGGACTCTAATACAAAGTCAGGGGCTGGTTTGCTTGTGCGTTACTCCACGTCAGAAATCAGGAACTGGGGCTGCGGGTCGAGCCAGGTTACCTGGAGAGGAGCAAGGCAGAAGCAGGGCAGGATCATCACAGCCGTGGGCACATGCTTTGAGCAGCCCCCAAACTGCTGCTTCTCCAGAGCCGGTCTGCTGACTCTTTCAGGTCATCAGGCGGAGTAGCCAATTAGGGAGCCCACTCCAGGCTGTGCTCGTTAGGTTGCCCAGAGACCAGCTCTGCTGCAGGCCCTGATTCCTGACCATCACAGCCAGCTGAATGGGCGGGAGCCACCTGTAGACCAGGTTCTGGCTCTTGGTTCCGTTTGTAAGTTTCTTGTCCCCCCAGGAACGGGGGAAGGGCCCGCCCACCTCCCAGGATTTCCAATAAGGCCCCCAGGAACTGCAGCTGGGGGCGAGCTCCTCAGCCCAGGCAGACAGTCATGGGCGAGCTCAGAAGGCTGAAAATAGCTTTCCCCACAGAGCCTGGAGCAGAGATAAAAGCATCAACTGGGTCTGCTGGTGGCTGGGACGGGAAATGCTGCTGTGTCCCCCACACACACATTCCAGCCACCCTCCCCCCCCCCTCCCCACACACACACACACGCTGTCTCCTGGCCACCCTGGGCTGTGGATGGGGTGTGATCTATGGTAAAATGTCACTTCCATTGTAAATCCAACTTGTGAGTGCGGAAGGCAAGAGGAGGAGACACTAAACAAGGCAGAGACACAGCTCAGTCCTGACCTGCAGCCCCCGCCACCCCAGCCCTGAGCTCCCCACCCCCTCAGCCCTGCCAGTGACCCTTGATCCTGACCTGCAGTCCCCTGCTATTCCAGCGATGGTCTCAGGCTCTCTGCAGACTCAGGCAAGCGCTGCATCAGTAACACTCGGGGAGTTCCTCCTCTCACATCTATTGCCCCAGGTTATCTGTAGACTCATCTCTGCATTTGTTACCCTCAACTCATCATTCTGAGATTCTCTCCACAAGCATAACACTTAGAGAGTTACTTTAAAAAAGGAAAGCCGTGATTCTGGAGAACAAGCGAGCAGCTTTCGGTAGGGGCAGCTACAGATATGGGCATGTACTGGATGTTTCCAAGCCCTGCCTAACGGATGCTGTAAATGACAGAGGCTGGCAATGACCCCCAAGGGAATCACGAATGGGCAGCCCACAGCAGCGTCCCAGCCATGCGTGGGGAAGAGCCCTGCCAGCCCCCTATGGAACATCACTGGAGGCTGAAATCAGAGTTGAGAGTTTCATGTTTGACAGGGACTTTTAAAGCCAACTGCAATTGAAACGTTTCTTTTCCTTTTCCAAGGCCGGCGGCTGGGCTCGGATGGGGATAGTGCGGACTCCTGGAGCGACAAGTTCACTTCTGAAGCAAGTGATTTTTCCGAAGTGGACTCTGCGTGGCAGGAGGATGGGGGGTTATCACAGAAGACCAGGTGTAGGATCGCTCTCCTGGGGCAGACAGGCGCTGGGAAATCATCCTTTGTCAATGCCATTAGAGGCCTGGGTGATGAAGAGGAAGGTGCTGCTAAAACCGGGGTGGTGGAGACAACAATGGTACCAACTTCTTACCGGCTTCCCAAACAGCCCAATATTACTATATGGGACCTGCCAGGGTTCGGGCCGACAAAGCGTCAATCAGACACAGACCTTGATCTCTTCAGCTTGAGCCAATACGATGCGTTCCTTATCTTCTCCTCCCATCACTTCACAGCCACCCATGCTGGCTTGGCCCGGAAGATCCAGCGAGCGGGGAAGGTGGTTTATTTTGTGCGCTCCAAGGTGGACCAGGAGTTGCTTCCTGCCCGGAGGCATCAGCCTTCTACCTATAATGAAGAGCGAATTCTGCAGAAAATCAGAGACACCTGCATGACACACTTGCAGAGAGAAGGGGTGACTTCCCCGCAGGTTTTTCTCCTGTCTAGCTTTGAATATGGCCGGCACGACTTCCCTCTTCTAGAGGAAATATTACAGAGAGAATTTGGGAGTCGTTTCCCTGGCTGAGCTCTTGTTCCCCAAAAATCTTGCACAAGGAAAAAGCAGCCAGGCAGAGTCAGAAACCAGCCCTAACTTCAAGTTATAATACCGAAAATATTCATATAAATCTCTAAAAGGACATGGCAGAACTAGAGGGGGTTTAGAGAAGGACCATGAGAATGATCAAGGGCCCGTACCCAGCTGACTTTAATGTCGTTGCCCCTTTTGCCCCCACCCCCTTTCCCCTGGCTGCTGAGCTTCTGTCTTCCCTGTCCCCTAACACAAGAGCAAGGGGGCATTTAATAAAAGTGAAGGTTGGGAATTCAAATCGAAGAAAGGAGCTCCTTTTTCACACAGTGTGTGGAACTCACCACCCCACGATGTCATGAAGGCGAAGAGTTGAGCAAGGTTCAAAGAGGGGTTGGCCATTTCTATAGCTAACGAGAACAGCCAGAGCGATCTTAGAAAATGACAACACAATGGTGTTGTTTGCAGCGTTGGTTCCAGGATATTAGCGAGACAAGGCGGGGAAGGGAATAGCTTTTATTGGACCCATTTCTGTTGGGGAGAGAGACAAGCTTTGGAGCTTACACAGACAGGGGTGGCGAGTTGGATGGGCCTGTGGTGCCCTTGCTCCACCAATATTCAGAGCACGGGGGCCCGGCTCCACCAAAGTTCAGGGCCAGGTCTCTCCCCCGGCCGTGCCGGCGGCTGCCCATGCACGTCGCCCCTGGCGCGTCCCCTGAGCCTGCATGCTGCCCCCGGCGCAGGGGGGCCCAGGTGGCTTCCTGCCCACCCGCTCCACTCCAGATCCCTTTCCTGCGGCCCCTGGGCAGGGGGTGGGGGTATGGTCTCTCCATGCTGCCCCTGCGGCTACTGGGAGCTGTGGGGGTGGTGCCTGCAGGCAGCAGCGCATGGAGACCCCCTGCGCCCCCCGGTCTAGGAACTGCTGCCGGAAGGGGGTGCGGGTCACTTACAGGAGCTGCCCCAGGTAAGCGCCTCACCCCTCACCCCCTCCCACACCCAAACTCCCTCCCAGAGCCTGACCCCTTTCCCCCCACACCCAAACTTCTCCCAGAGCCTGATCCCTCACCCCTCCCGCACGCAAACTCCCTCCCAGAGCCTGACCCCTTTCCCCCCACACCCAAACTTCTCCCAGAGCCTGATCCCTCACCCCTCCCGCACGCAAACTCCCTCCCAGAGCCTGACCCCTTTCCCCCCACACCCAAACTTCTCCCAGAGCCTGATCCCTCACCCCCTCCCGCACGCAAACTCCCTCCCAGAGCCTGACCCCTTTCCCCCCACACCCAAACTTCTCCCAGAGCCTGATCCCTCACCCCCTCCCGCACCCAAACTCCCTCCAAGAGCCTGCACCCTGCACACCCTCCCGCACCCCAATCCCCTGCCCCAGCCTAGAGCCCACACCCTGCACCCAAACTCCCTCCCAGAGCCTTAAGCAGGGGGGACGGGGACTTGGACCTGTTCTGGGCACCACCAAAAATTCTCCAACCTGCCCCCCTGTTAACACAGAGCTCTTCTTCAGGTCTGGGAAAGGTATCAGAATACCACAGCGAAATACAAGCGGGGACAGATCGTATAGCATATTGAGCAATAACAACTACATGGGCGAACCGAGACAGTCACTGCGCTCTTTGGACGGATACAAAACCACAATGGCGTTTATCCAATGCATCCCGCCAAAACACCAGAAACTTTTACTTGTACCCACCCCGAGTGGTAACGCTGACTGCAGGGGGGTGGTTTCTAAACCGCTCCGTCATGGGGTGCATTAATTTCTCTGAGCATGAGCTTTCGTGAGCTACAGCTCACTTCATCAGATGTATACCGTGGTATACGGTAAACATCTGATGAAGTGAGCTGTAGCTCACGAAAGCTCATGCTCAAATAAATTGGTTAGTCTCTAAGGTGCCACAAGTACTCCTTTTCTTTTTGCGAATACAGACTAACACGGCTGTTCCTCTGAAACCTGTCATTAATTTCTCTGTGTGGGCACGGCTGCTGCACACTAGAGGCCATAGTTTTCTTTGCCATAGTTTGAAACAGTCCTACAGTAAACGCGCACTGGGAAACGTTCCAGAGAGAGATCGTTCATTACAGGCATGGAAGGATTTGTTTTTATTGGTAAATGTCAGTAAGCATCAATTTCACCGGACATCCACAAAACATGGAGGAAAAAATATCTCCATTGATAATAACTGAAACGTACAGAAAGGCAGAGTCAGAGAAACACTGCTTGAGAACTTATCGAAGTTTGATTGAAGACTATTTACTTGGTGTATTTTGACATGGGATATTGACAATTTGTGTTTTAATGGTTATAAAGCTTTTACTTTTTGAATCTCAGCATCTACCATCATTCAACACTTAGTATCTGATCCAGTGGCGTAGCCAGGTGGAGAAAACAGGTGAAGCTCCGGGTCTTCGGCGGTGGGGGGGGGGTGTCAGGCGGCGCTCCAGGTCTTCGGCAACACTTTGGCGGCAGGTCCTTCACTAGCTCTGGTCTTCGGCAGCCCTGAAGGACCCTCCGCCCGCCCAATGCCGCCGAAGACCAGAGCGAGTGAAGGACCCGCCGCCAAAGACCCGGAGCTCTGCCTGACCCGACGGTCACTTCTGCTCGGTGGGAGAGCGGCCGCTGCCCCGCTCCCCGCCAGCCACGCTACTGATCTGATCCCCCTTTAAATTTCACAGTTGCGGGAAAGTATGAATAGATACAAATGGAACAAAAGGCTTAAAAACAAACCACTATTATTAGTTGAATTCTGCCAAGCCCAAGTATATACTATTGTAATGAGCAATGCATATAACGGACATTACTCTTTGGAGTGAGTATTTACAAAATCAAAGTCCAATTTTTGGACCTCTGCAGAGAACTGCAAAATTGCTAAAAATAAACCCTGAGAAATGAAATTAACCCCCCGCCAAAATAGAGGTCCTAGAAATAGCCTTTCCCATCCATCCACAGAGCTAAAACTCCTCCTGGCTCACATCTCGATTGCTGTGACATCCCCTTCTCCAGCCTTGATAAATGCAATCCTGCCCTGCTCAGATGCATAAGAACATAAGAACAGCCCTATTGGGTCAGAGCAAAGGTCCATCTAGCCCAGGATCCTGTCAGTGGCCAGTGCCAGGTGGCCCAGAGAGAATGAACAGAACAGGGAATCATCAAAAGATCCTGTCACCCATTCCCAGCTTCTGGCAAAGAGAGGCTAGGGACACCATCCCTGCCCATCCTGGTATTCATAAAGCTGCTGCCGAGATCGCTCCCTGAGCCCACTGCTTTGTCTGTGCCACCCCTCTCTTTGCTTTGCAGCCCTGCACTGGCTTCCCCTTCTCCAGCTCCTCAAATGTCAGCTGCTTCTCTTCACTCAGACAGGCCTTCAGGGCCAATCCCCACCCGACCTTTCCTTTCTCGTTCGCACTCCCACCGTGGGTCAGCCCTTGCTGCCAGCCTCGATCTCCCGCTTGGTACATTTCCAGACAAGCCCCTCGGTGACACGACACCCCCGCGCTCTCCTTCATGCTTGGGGGGATCTCCCTGTAAACATCCTTCTGGGCTACACTGCCTTGTGATTTCCTTGCCCTCCCCTTTCCGTTTGTCTGGCTCCAGGTGGCGTCTCTTCTCTTAGACTGGAAGGTCTTTGGGGCAAGGACTGACTTTATTCTGTGTCCGTGCAGCGCCTGGCGAAATGGGGATCCTGGCCCATGATTAGAGTGCCCTGGAGCTACCGTAATGCACCTAATAAATAAATGAAGTGAGACCCATACAGACCCCTCCAGGTTTAGCCCAAGATGCACCATTTCCTTCTGCCTTTGAGAGAGGCAGCAGTGTGCCCAGGATCAGCTCACTAAACATGGCCAGACACCTGTAACCAGCAGCTAACAGGCAAAGGTGAAATCGCACATGTCTTGGGGTTATGAAACCATGACTCCTTGGGAGGAAGTTCATGAGCGTCTCCCCATCAGCCCCCCAGGACTAGGGGACTGCCCCTATCCAGCCTTACTCCAGAGAGAGCTAAAGCCATGGCAAGAAGATGGAGGGCACACAAGTGTCCACCTGGTCTGCTAAGAGTGACAGTTCCCTGCCACCTCTCCTGGCCACCCAAAAATGACACATCTAGCAAGGCCATCTAGCCCCAGTGGGGCTGGACGAACCCCAATCAGGGCAGGTCTGGGTTTACTTGGTCCTGCCTCGATGCAGGGGGCTGGACGGCATGATCCCATCCAGCCCGACATGGCCATGATTCTCTGGAAACACCACAGAAAGGAGATCGGTGACCCCTAGCGCCCCGCTGGGGCATCGGGGCCAGCCCTGAGTGCCAGGGGAGAGCCCCCTGACCCCACTCCCTGCAGCACAGCGCCCCCTAGCACTGGCCTGGGGCATTGGGGCCAGCCCTGACTGTCTGGGGAGAGTGCCCCTGAGCACTGGATCACTAACTCTGCTCCCTGCAGCGCTCTCTGGATTTTGGGAGCTTTCCTAGCCAAGCACTGAGTACGTGCAAGCCCTCTTAGCTTGAGACTGACCAGTTCCTGCCAGGCTAACCCAGCTCTCTGCCAGGGGACCCCATCAGGGCACGCGTCAACCCACTGGCAAGAGTCAAAGAGCGTCCTCCCAGGAAATTTGGCAGCGTCACCTTCAGCTCTTTGGCCAGGGCTGCACTACACACTTACACTCAGGGGGGTTGGGAGGTGTGACAAATCCCCACACCCGCAGTGTAGACAGCTGTATGTGGATGGGAGAGTGTCTCTTACGGAGGTGGAGTTACGAAGCAGACGGGGAGAGCTCTCTCCCATTGGCTTAGAGCATCTCCCCAGATACTCTAGGGGGTACAGCCATGCCGATGTCCATTTCTAGTGCAGACCTGCCCCAATCTCCCACCGTCTGTGACATTCAGGATTCTTGGTGCGGGTCAGCTTCCCGGCTCGTTTGCTCACTGCTTTCAAAGACAAACAGGAAAAAAAAAACCCCTGCCGGTTGCTTTCACTTTCCAGATCATTCACCCTGCTCGGCGTCGGTGGCAGAGAGGCCATGAGAGCGATAGGAAACCGAACACAAATCACTCTGTAAGCTCTTTGCAGAGTCGGGGCACCTGGGGCTCCCGGGAGGGAAGCTGGTAAGTGGCCTTTCTTGGCTTTGGGCCTTGTTTTGTTGGCGACTGGTTGTTTGAAGGCCAAAGAGGCACTGTACCAGCTGCTGAGGAGCAGCCATTTTAGGTGTCCTGAACGCCACATACCGATGAATAATGGCACAGAGCTGGGCTCTGCTCCTAACGCTCCACACGGGCCATCGAGTTAGCCAGGGTCAGGCCACTCGTTGCAGGACGCTGGGCAGCATGTGGCCATGGGGGAGGCTCTCCGGTCTGATCGGAAGTACACTTTCTCTGGGAGAGGCACAAGCCCTCAGTTCCCAGCACAGAAACATCCTCCCCCCCCCTCCATTTTCTATTTGTAATAGAAAACGATCCCCTTTCTCTAGGCCAGTGGTTCTCAAGCAGGGGTACGTGTATCCCTGGGGGTAACCGGAGGTCTTCCAGGGGGTACATCAACTCAGCTAGATATTTGCCTCGGTTTACAACAGGCTACATAAAAAATCCTGGCGAAGTCAGTGCAAACTAAAATTTCATACAGACCATGACTTGTTTACACTGCTCTATACACTGTCCACTGAAAATGTAAGTACAATATTTATATCCCAATCGATTTATTTTATAATTATATGGTAACAACGAGAAAGGAAACACTTTGTCAGTAATAGTGTGGCTGGGACACTTGTACTTTTATGCCTGATTTTGTCAGCAAGTTGTTTTTAAGTGAGGTGAACCTTGGGGGTACACAAGACAAGTCAGACTCCTGAAAGGGGGACAGTAGTCTGGGAAGGCGGAGAGCTGCTGCTCTAGAGGGGTGGTGCTGCATTTCGGCTTCCCCTGGGATGCCAGAGAGAATTGGATTCCTGCTATGGAATTGCATTCAATGTCATTTACACCAGGGAAAAGGGGGGGGGGGTTAGCATTAATGAGAAACCAGGTCTGCATTTGTTAAAGGCATTTCCACAGCATCCTGCCAAATCCTTCCACCCCTTTGCTTTCCTGGCTATTAAATTACATAGGATATGAGAGATTGGAACCAGCCGGGAGTTACGCCTGAGCGCTACCGGGGTGAGCAAGAGGGGAATCGCACCCTGTGCCTTCGTTCCTGATGTTCAGCGGATCGCCTGGGGCGGGAGCCAGCCCTTCACAGACTGTCCTGCCTTTGCTGGTAGACGTCGGCTGCTCCACGCCATGGCGCGAGTCAGTCTTGTTTGCTCACTTCACGCGATTGTGCTGTGGACTCTCTGCGGTAAGTATTCCGGCTCTGCTTGCCTCTGTCTTATTGAGGAGTCATGATGCTGGTGATAACGACTTCAGTGCCCAGAAGCCCCCGTCACAACCCAGGACCCCACTTTGCTCGGTGCGGTACGTTCTGATGCTGTTTATTAGGTGTATCACGGTAACACACAAGAACCCCACTCCTGGCCCCGTTGTGCTCAGTGCTGTGCATTATTACAGGAACTCCTCACTCAACGGCATCCTGTTAACGTTGTTTTGTTGTTACGTTACGTCGCTGGTCAATTAGGGAACATGCTCGTTTAAAGTTGCGGAATGCTCCCTTCTAACGTCGTTTGGCAGCCGCCTGCTTTGGCCACTGCTTGCAGGAAGAGCAGCCCCTTGGAGCGAGCTGGTGGGGGCTTGGAACCAGGGTGGGCCGGCAGCCCCCCATCAGCCCCCCTAAGCTCCCTGTCCAGCAGCCTCCCAGACTATCAATTGCCGGCAGTTCACCTGTCCCTCCCCCCCGCTGCCGTGTGCTGCTCCTGCCCTCTGCCTTGGAGCTGCTCCCGGGAGCCTCCTGCTTGCTGTGCAAAGGGGGGTGGGGAGGGCTGCTAATGTCAGGGTGTCCCCCTCTCCCCGCTCCTTTACCCCATCTCCAAAGAGTGGAGGTGGACATGACAGGGCTCGGGACAGAGGGAGCTTGCTGGCCGCAGCTTCTGGAATGTATCCGATGAAGTGGGCTGTAGCTCACGAAAGCTCATGCTCAAATAAATTGGTCCGTCTCTAAGCTGCCACAAGTCCTCCTGTTCTTTTTGCAAATACAGACTAACACGGCTGCTCCTCTGAAACCTGTCTCAACTTGCTGATCTACTTAAAAAGGCAATGGACTTAGAGTGGGGTCAGCGTACTTAAAGGGGCAATGCGCGTCTCTCTCTCTCACCCCCCCCCCCCAGCACTTTGGAAAGTGGAGGGAGTGGTGCGTTCCAGTGGGATAGCCTGGGTTCATCATCACGTTCAGTTTCCACAGCGAAAGTTTGTAGCCACTGCCCTGCTGTGTCTCCTCCCTCCGTTCTCTGCTTTGTAGAGTGCAAGGTTACGTTAACAACAACGTGTTAACCCTTGAGGGCTCAGCCCAGTGCTGATTCATCACTCAGCAGAAAGGCATTCCCTCGGAAATATCCCCCCCTCTGACTCCACCACCTCAACCAAGCTTCACAATCATTGCTGTGTACAGTATTCAATCGTTTGTTTAAAACTTGTACTAATTATATATAAATACACAGTATACACACACACACAGAGCTGTGGATGGTCTGCCCGACTCATCAGGTCTCATGCTAATCTTTTATAACTCGAGATTGGTTTAAGCGTGAGGTTCAGTCTCACTTCCAAAATGTATGTTAGCATTAAGTCCTCTAACTCTGAATCTCCTTGTTACCCAGCTAACCATCCAATCCCTGTTTAGATCTTGTCAAGCTCCTGGGCTCAATGACATCATGTGGCAGGGAGTTCCACATGTTCACTGTTCCATGAAAAAGTACATCTTTTAATCAGTTTGGAACATACCACCTTCTCATTTCTTTTTTTCCTCTATTTATTAGCCAATACATTGTTACAAAAGCATTCCTGTAACTAGCTTTACACCCTCCAAAAAGACAAGGTTTGGTATACATACAAGATCTGGCCTTCAGAAAGCTGTAAGCCTAGGAGGTTGGCCAACTATTAAGGTAGCAGTTTAACACTTCTTTGCTCCCTCCTTAGTATTCAAAACATGTCGGCCCAACTTACAGGCTGGGGGTCTCTCTCCTGGGGAGCAGCGAATCTGAAAAAGATTCGGGGGTCATGGTGGAGGTTGGAGGACGAAGGACTCTGAGGCTGATCTTCACTTTCCTTTAAGGGGTTGCTGGAGAGGAGACAGCCATCACAGCTCAGTACGGGAAAGACGTCACCCTGACCTGCATCTTCCCTTCCAAATTTAAGATAAGCTTCCATCGATTGAGCATCACCTGGACAAAGGAAGGTGCCCAGGGCCAGGATTTCCTGGTTCACAGATTCCATCTGAAGATGAACTGGCTGGAGGGACAGGAAGAGGCTTACAGGGGCCGAACGCAGCTATATCCACAGGAATTCCCCCAGGGAAACGCATCCCTGAGACTCAGCGATGTTCGCCTCCACGATGAGGGATCCTACCTCTGCAGCGTCACCTGTGAGCTGGGAAACTGGTCCCAGAAGATTTCACTTACAGTGCTAAGTACGGTTCCTCTTCCTGTACCCCGATCATAGCACCCGTGACAATCGCTCCAGGCCCGGTGTACCATGTGATCACCCAGCAGGGCAAATGGGTGCCTCATTGCAAAGCCAGTGTATCCACCAAAAATGCCACACTCGTCTGGCCTTGATCTTGTCTGCTTTCTGTTCTACCTGTCACCTCCCAGGCAAGGGAAGGAGAACTCCCCCTGCAGTGCGACTTGAAGCGCCATCTAGCCGTATGATTTTCCATGCAGGTTTTATGTGGTGAGGAGAAATGGGTAACATTCAGTGCAGCTCCTGCGTCTCAAAGAGATTGTTTCAGGCTCTCGGCAGATACCGGCAGCCATTGGTTCGTGGTCTGCTGTCTCTGCTAGATTAACGAGCCCGTTAGTGCTTGGTATTTTCTCCCTGTGAAGGTGCTTATAGATGGTAATCATGCCACCTCTACTTTTGGATAAGTTTCACAACCATAAAGGCTAGAGTGTGACATGTTCTTAAAATGAGATTTTAGATTCTGGACCTGAACAAGGCTGGCACCAGGGGAAGTCTAAGGGGCCATGAGCCAGTTCAATCCAACCCCCACGGATATGTTCTGTGTACGTAATTTCTACATTTCAGGAAAAATGGGTGAAAAAAATTTGGGGGAAAAATGAGGATTTGATTGTAGGCACTTATCACTCTTCCATTTCCATAGGATCTAGCCGTTTCTCAAAGTTTAATGTACTCCTCCTCACAGGGCCCCTGTTTAGTAGGACAGGGCTGTTGTTCCCATTGTACAAATGCGGAAACCGAGGCACAGGGCGATTTAGTGTCTTGTCCAAGTTCACCCAGGGGTTTTGTGGTTGAGCAGGGAATTAAGTCAGGATTCTGGAGTCCCAGGCTCGGGCCCTAACTCCCCCCTTCTGTCTGGATGTTTGTTTCCCTCTCAGGTGACAGTGAAACAGAAAGGCCCATCATAGTTCAGACAGGGGAGGACGTCATCCTGAATTGCTCCTTCCAATCTGAGTTAAACCACCAGCCACTGAACATCACCTGGAAGAGGGAAGAAGAGGAGGGACCGGATCTCCTGGTTCACAGCTACTGCTCTCAGCTGGACCCATTGGAAACACAGGATGAGGCTTACCGGGGCCGGACCCAGCTGTATCCAGAGAGATTCCATGAGGGAAACGCGTCCCTGAGACTCAAGAACGTCCAGCTGGAGGATGACGGGGTCTACACCTGCCACGTCAAGCCCGAACTGGGCAGGTTTTCCGTGCGGATGAGAGTGGCTGTGGAGAAGGGTAGGGCTCCTCTCTTAGGGCACCGCACAAGTCCCAGGGTCCGGGCAGCTGGGCCGCTAGGAACTGCTCCACTCGGCAGGGAGTGGAGCTGTGTGCAGAGGAGGAGCGGGGGGGGGGTCTAGGCGATAACCAGCGAGGTGGGAGGTGAGGTTGAGTGATGGCAAATGGGAAGGGGAGTGGGGTCTGTGGAAGGGCGGGTGTCCATGACACGCTCTCTCTAGGAAGCTGTGATCCACGCTAGGGAAATGCCTCCGGCTTCTGTTTGTTGGACATGTCTAACCCCCTCCTCATGTGCCCCTGGGGAATTTCCGGTCTCTCATGCTGCATCCCATTGGGTTTATTTTGTGTTTTCCAGCTGCTGAGCTTGTCCAGAGCCCACCAACACTGTATGGTCTGTGGTTGATTGATCTGGGAGTATTACTGGTGATATTAGCATTTGCTCTCCTTCGAATGTATTATCCTTCCTTGCGGAAACTGTTGCTGAACAAAAAGTCGCTTCGCAGTGAGTCCCAACAGACTGCGTCTGACCATAAAAAAGACAAAGAGGAGAGAAGTCATCTACTCCGGGCATCTCCGTTGACCTCTGTGGAGCCAGGAGTGGCCAATCCCACGCACAGTCCACCTGCACATTCCTCCCCGGTATGGCTCCAGACATTTTGTGTCCCTTCTTCGTTTGTGTGTGAGGTCGTTAGTTCGAGGGGAGGAGGCTGGGTCACTAGGTCTCTCTCTTTGGATTTCACACGGCCGTGCTGCCCGTTTGAAATTATTCATTTGTCAGGCAAACGTGGAAAAAGGGATCAGGATTGGGGTTTTGAAGACTCTCATGTTTTCTTTCGTCACAACTCAAAGCCTCTTGGCGCAGAGACTTCACATTTGCTTTATTTAAGGGCTTGTTTACACATGAAAGGTAATCCGGAATAAGGTAAAGTGTGAATTTAAAGCAGAGTAACTATTCCAGAACAACACCATAAGGGGATGTTCTTATTCCAGAATGAGAGTGCCTTTTTCTTTTGTCCAAAGTGGATTAAGGGCTTGCCTACACAGGGCATTATTTCTGACTGACCATTCCTGATTAACTCCCTGTGTGAACGCTCTTATTCTGGACAAAGAGTGCTTTATTTGTAGCTAGCCTAATCCACTTCCAAAGCCTCTTCTAACCTCCAGTATACATCTTCCCAGAGCACCATGCAGATGTCAGTGGCAGAGAGCCAGTTAGGCCAGCTTTACAGGACCCTTGTACCAGAAGCCAGCTCACTCCCACACCACCTGCTACCTTTCTAGGTCAGATTTCCAACCAGAGCAGGAGTTGAGGACCTGGCCCTGAAAGTTCTCATCACAGGTGCCCCAGCTAACAAATAGGGGCTGCATTTTCCTACTGGACTTGCAAACTGCTCCTTAAACTGATTTTGCAAACTGTGTAACCAGCTCACAGACACTTGACTCAGAAAGTTTCTGCTCATACTTAACTCACACTTACTGAAGCCAGAAATATCAAACCTAACTTGTTTGGTAGATCCTTGGTGCTCTAAAGATCAAGCCAATTCTGAAGACAATTGCACCAGCTGTTTGAAAGTTGTGAAGGTGTATGTAGCAGATCGCAGACTCACCGGTGCTATGCCTCCTGCTGGTCATCTGGGAATTAGTTCATCAACCTCAGAGCACTCCCTGCTAGCTGGTGTCTCGCCTGCTTCAGGCCCCATGTCCCTCCCAGACCCCAGTGCCCTTTAACTTTGGGTTCTGCCCACAGCAGTACCCCCACACTCTAGGTCTCCCCTCCTAGGGGAACCCCCTCTCCCATGCCCACCTTGCCTCAGTGGCTCCTGCCAGTCGTCATCTAGCCCCCTTTCTCTGGGGCAAACTGCAGTCTGTAATGGCCACTCATCACTGGCAAGGGGGTTGGACCTGCTGCCTTTCCCTGCAGCCCCAGTACTTCCCTAGGCCTTTTTGGCCGGCCTCAGCCTGGGAGGTTGCCAGGCCTGAGCTCCCCAGCTCAGCCTGCCCCTTCCCCAGCACTGCTCTGTCAAAGGTACCTTTCGCTCCTTCAGGCAGCTAGCTCCACCTCTCTCCAAAGCTAGAGCAAGACTGCCTGCCTCCTGCCCCTGCAGCTCTTTTATAGGGCCCAGACTGGCCCTGATTGGCTGCCTCTCCGACTTTTCTGATTGGCTCCCAGCCCTAGCCCTCTCCAAGGGCTGGCTTTTAACCCTTTCAGAGCCAGAGCAGGGTGACCACCCTGCTACAGTGTAACTTTGGTATGTCTTCTCCAAAACTGCCCTGGGTCCCCAAAACAGGCAGAGATTGTCAGATTCCAGTTGTGCATCTGGGCTGCATGCTCAGAAAGGATCCTCTGCGAATGTTTCTCACACCTTCCTTGCAGAAAGGGGGCTGGACATACACCTTTATGATAGTGCTGCCACTTCTCACTGGTCCTGGTGAGGGACCTTTGAAGGTCTGATGTGTATGGGGGTGGGGGAAGAAGAAGGACAAAGTGTCCTCAGTCCCCTTCCCACCAGCGATTTGTTCAATTTAACTGCAGCTTGTTGCAAATACGCTTCCAGCCTGCTGTGGTTCTCCTATGAGCTGATTACATTATAAATGTTGCCCTTGAGAATACATGATCAATATTTGGTCTGGGTTTTTGTGTTTTCAGGGACAGACTGCCAAAGACAGGGGAGAACCAAGGGCTGCTCCTGGAGTTCAAATAGTACCTACATTGATTTCTATAATGCAGCAGAAGGCTTTGGAGTACACCAAGTTAAACATCGCCATCATGGGAGAGCTAGGCTGTGGGAAACTGTCCTTCATTAACGCCATGCGGGGGCTATGTGATGAAGACGAAGGTGCTGCCCCACTCGGGGAGGAAGAAATGATGATGGAGCCAAAAGCTTATCAGCATCCCAAACACCCAAGTGTGACTTTCTGGAGACTGCCAATAGATTTTCAGCCATGTCTCCAGCCGGTGAAATTTGTCCACTACGACTTCTTTGTCATCATGGGTTTAGAGGGATTCACACGTAAGCATGCTGAGCTGGCCCGGGAGATCCAGAAGGCAGGGAAGATGTGTTACTTTGTGCGCTCCAAGGTGGATGCAGATTTGGATTCTGCCAAACGTAGCCGGCCCTCCACCTATGATGAGGAAAATATACTGCATGACATCCATAACCACTGCATCAGGTGCCTGGGAGAGGGAGAGATGATCAATCCTGAGGTTTTCCTCCTTTCCGCATTTGAATTAGACAAGTACGATTTTCCCCGCTTGCGAGACAGCATGGAGAAAGCACTCCCAGGTGCCAAGAAAAGGGCTTTGACACTAGCCCTGCCCAACACCTCTCCGCAAATCTTGCAAAAGAAAAAGGAAGCCCTGCAGAAGCAGATCTGGAAAATAGCCCTTGTGTCCTCTCTTATCACGGTTATTCACATACCCGGTATCTCCACCATTCTTGGCATAACCATCCTGCTGATACTCATGAGATACCACTGCCTGGTCTTTGGCCTGGATGATGACTCCTTCACGGCTCTCACAAGGCAATTTGGCAAACCAGCGGAAGAGCTGAAGGCCATTATGAAGCCCCCGCTGGCCAAGGAAATTAGAATTTATGTGGTCTTGCAGCTCCTGTCCTCGGTTGGGTGCGGCATATTCACAGGAGCTGGTTTGTCTCTGTGTCCTTTACAGGTGCTAGGATTCAAGCTGCCTGGAGGAGTTGCAGCAGTAGGATTCCTGGGGGCTGGTGGAATTTCATTGGCTACCACGTATATCCTGCTGAAAACCTTTCTCAACAGTGCTGCTGAAGATGCCCAAAGAATCCTACAGAAGCTCAGTCCATATGACAACAGGGAAAGCTAACGAAGCTAACGAGAACAACTCAAATGAGGAAGGATTTCCAGGACCATAATTTTCAGGGCACACACTTCACGAGCACTATGTGCTTATTCTGCTGTTCTTGTCCCTGTTCTGGTCCTTCCTTTTGGAGCTCCCCTGGTGTAATCCTCCAGCACATAACTCCACCAGCTTCCACTTGACACTGGAACTGGGCTAAGATTGTCACACAAGACGGGCTTAGATTGGAAGAACCAGCATCATAAACCCGGGTCAACGGATGAATAGTGAAATGATTGAATTTAGGTGTGTGGGAAAGATGCTGGCAGAGAGCCTGAGTCCTTCGTGTATTCCCAGCCCAGGCAGCTGGCCCTGTTCTACTTTCCTGCTCACAGTTCTTTCGTTCTTGTATTGTTTCTTTTCCTATCTATTTATATTACAGCAACACTTACTGGAGACCCCAGCTGGGATCAGGGTCCCGTCGGGCCGGGGGCTGCCCAGACACACAGCCAGAGACAGTCCCTGCCCCTAAGAGTTTACAAAGAGACACAAGTTGGGAGGGGAAATGGAGGCACAGAGAAAGACCCTAAGCAGGCCAGAAACACACCCTGTGTCTCCTCACTCCAAGGCTAGTGGGCTAACAAACCTCATGCCTCACTTCCTCTCTCAGTCTTTTAGCTCCGCTTCCTTGTTCGCCACTCAGCAGCAGGCTCCGTGCCGCCTGGGACGGGGCGTTCCCGGGGGGCTGCCCAGGTCCTGGCATCTCAGCTCAGCAGCAGCATTACAGGACGAGAAATCTGGGCCTGGCAGCTGAGCCATCTGTCTGGTCGCTGCAGGAGCTGCTGCTGCTTTCCCCGCAGCCTTAGGGACGCCTTTGCACAGTGGGGGCAGAGCCAGGGGCGTGCAAATTTCTGCACCCTCGTGCTGTTCTCCTCTGTCCCAAGCCTCCTGCCAGACTAGCCTGGGGACCTCGAGAAGACGGTTGCTGATAGAAACACCATGTGTATCGTTATTAATGCTGTAGGTCTCCCGGCTAGGAAATGGGACTGAGTCCCTCACTCGCTGTTCGGTCTGTGTTACACCTCCCTCTGCACCCTGAGCCAGCCAGTCCCCACCTGGGGCCAGATTGGGGCTGGCGCCTCGTAGAGGGAAAAGGCCTCATTTCCCATTCCCCACTTCCCGAGCCAGTCATTTCAAGCAATAGCATTACAAACCGGGCGAGAGCTGATGGTTTATACCTTTAAAAGGTAATTGCATAGCCTGCTCACCGTAGGTTAGCAAGACGCGAATACAGTGTGTCTGTTCACTAGCCTGTGTAATCCCCTCGTCAGACTTGCTTTATACTCCACTAAACAGGCATCTTTTGGGACTGAGCGTTTGTGTTTCCGGACCTCGTCACTCACAGAAGACTGCATTAATTCAGGGCTGGTGGACGGGTCAGTGCTGGATCGCATGCACGGAAGTAAGTGTGTGGTGAGCAGAAAATCTTAGGCCTTGTCTACACTACAGATGTTTGCCATGCGCCGTACTGTCTGGTACCTCTCAAAGGCTTGAGATGCAGGTCTAGTCCACCTACAGCATTGTTTGCTAACCATGCTGACTGCTGCCCAGCATCCTCTGTGCTTCATCAGGTGTAACTTAGCCCCCAGCTGTTTCTAAGTCAGCACATTTATCCTTAAGGTGAAAGCATGGCAGAGAAAACACATTCAACACAATAAAAGTGCCCGCGCTAATAATCTTCCCAGAGCTCACCCACAATCCCAGCAGGGCCCTGGTAGCTGATCAGTCCTGCAACCCCCCATCGGGGGTTTTCTGTGGTTACAAGTTCATCACAGCTGTTAGCGCAGAACAGGAACCCCCAGGAATAGGCCAAGTCCTCCCAACCCTTCCCAGGAAGCACTGGGGCTCTCGGGAGATTGTGCAACCAGAGCGAATTCACCTAATAATCCTCCACCCCAATGTTCTTAGATCCCAAAGGCACTGTGGTTCCCCTCTTCCATGGAATTACATACAATCCCTGCATGGGCCGGGGGTGGAGCCCCCATTTCAGGGAGACTAGCCCCAGCTCCGCCCCTTCTACCTGCCCCCCCCACCCCTCCCACAGCTGGAGACCCGAGACCCCCGTCCCCTCGGATGGAGGAGCCCTGATCCATCTGGGACCCCCTCCCGCCTCCCCACAGCCAGTGTAGTGCGAGAAATTGCTATCTCCAATACAATACACCCACACAGCGTATACAGCCTTTGATTCCCCCCATCCTGGAGTTGGTGTGAATTGGCCAGTTGCCAAGGGCAAGTGAGAATGTCTCATTACAGGGGGAGATTCCCAGCAAGACTTACAAGAACTTTGCTGTGCACAGTCTGGCAAAATACCTTGCTCGCCTCAGCAGGCTCCGTCCTTTTTAGCCTTGGAGGCTCAGGTTTGGGGCAAGGCAAATCCTTATAGGTGGCACAGGGTCCTGCTACTCCTCTCCTCAGTCAGTCCCTTGGGCCTGTTTTCCTTCCCTCCTGGGGAGTGAGTGCAGCCTCCCTACTGGGAAGGTCTGGTGTCTTGCTGCAAACAGCCTACTAGCCCCTTCCGTGCTCCCCTCACTTTCCCCCTCCTTCCAGCCAGGGGAGGGTTTTAAAAGGTCCCAAGCAGTTGGAGTCAGCCGAACCGA